TCAATATATCAGTCTATATACTGTTAGTGCTGATCAGTGTATATAGGCTAAATAAAAACAACAGTCTGTCTGTCTGTAGATCATTGGACTGAAACCACGAGGAGACCCCTACATCAACTGTACTGCTAAGGTAACACAGACTTGACTAACCATATCCCATCATGCACCTGTACATCATTATCAGCAGCTTGTTAACCAATCAGACTGAATAAGAATGGTGTGAATAATAAAATTAAATAAATGTCCAGCTGAATAACTTTTATAAATCAGTGATAATAAAGTTTGTTAATTAGATAATGGGCTACATGGGGTTCATAGAGCACAGCAGGTAGTTTAATGTATTGTTACAACACAACACTGGAAACTTAGGATTGGACTCAAACACAAAACAGCAGCGAGATGACTTTAGTTATTTAAAAAGATAAAGCTTACATGCGGGGCAGGCTGGCAGGTCAGGAAAGGCAAAAGGAAAAAAACCAACAGGGCAACAGAAGGACAAAACAACCAGGAACCACCAGGGACAAAACCAGGAGTAAGTGACATAGAAACAAGGCAACATAAAGACACAGGTGAGGGCAGTGGCGGCTCCAGGGATTTTCTGTTGCAGGTGCTACGCAAACTGTGAACATTCTGGTCTAAGAGTTCACTGTCGTTAGAAGCAGGAAAAATGGCAGCGTGAGGATCTGAGCATTTTGGACAAGAACCACATCTGTGATGGACGAGCTGGGGTCAGACCATCTCCAAGAACCTGCAGCTCTCGCGCCTCGCTCTCTCCACTGCTCAACTGTTATTATCTAATATGCTGTTACTGACTTAGGAGATGGTTTCGGCGGATACCATTTTTTTCCGCTCTTCCCGATACCGATTGGATACTTGTGCTGTGGTTTAGTCGGCCGAGTTTACTGGTGAGCCACGTAATGACCGATCCACTGCAGGTATACCTTTAGTGTTATATGAGACGAAATTTGATGTCTTCATACTAACTCGCTGGCATGATATGATTATTTTGCGGATGATATCATCATTTTGCTGGTAGAGGCCTGCTTTGCGAGCTGTATATAAACCGTATATCAGTTGAAAAGGACGATGAATAAATTAATACAGCAGACATTCAGCCATAGTGCAAAAGCAATAACTAAAATTCAAATATGCCAAATTACTATAGAAAATAGGCAGATATTTCTGCTGATGCAAACGGGTACCTGTCTATCCTATTTATAGACTGAAAGTGCAGGCCCATCTTAATATT